GGTGATAATTCCGGCTAACACATACTGAGTGCTTTTACTGCCAGGCACGGTGCTAAGCTTACTGAATTCAGTAAGTACAGTAGCATATGGAGTTCTCTTAACAAGTTATTATAAATAATATCATTATTCTCACTTTTTTATTTTTTTAAGGAGGGTGCCACTCACAGTGGCCCATGAGGGGATCGAACCGGCAATCTTGGTGAGCAACATGCTCTAACCGGTCATCCCTCCTTATTCTCATTTAAAGATGAGGAAACTGAGGCTCCCAGAGTTTTACATCATGGCCCAAGGTCACATGGCTAAGTGAGAGAGTTGGGTATTCTGCTCTTCCCCACCTTCTATAACCCAAAAGACAGGAATAGATGCCTTTCAGTAGGCTGGCAGATCAATGAATGGCTCCAGTTGAAGTGGGCAGCGCATGGATGACAGCTAATCCATCCACAGCCATGGACTGTATCCTTCATCCTGTCAGCTACATCACGAAGATCATCTTTTGGTCCCCAACAGGACTGGGTGTAAGGCCTGGAGATGGCTTAGCAAATCCCCTCCCCAGTACTGCCAAAACAAAACAAAACAAAAAACAAAAAAACCTCTCAAAATACTTTTTCCATTATCGATGCTCACTGGTGTCCTTAATAGTGGAAAATTCCATGGAGACGGATTTAATACAAAAGCCTTTTGAACTTAAATGTGTTTCAGAAATTTAAGTCATGTCCGTGAATGTTTAGATTTTCTCTCTTTCAGTGGGGTCCTCACTTAGAAAACAGAACATATTAATTATTTGTCTTGGGCAAGAAACATATTGCTCTTAAATTTTTCCACCCGTAAAACGTGGATAATCACATCTAGCCTGCCTTTTTCACATGGTTTTGGGTGGTGTAAAAAGACTACAAAGACAAAAGTTAAGAACAATTTTATAATACAAGCTCAAATGCCGCCTTCTCGAACTTTCCCAGCCTAACTTTCCCACCGCCACCCATGACTCTCCTTACAGCTGCCAGGTTTTGTTTTGTTTTGTTTTGTTTTTTACTTAAAGCAGCTCTCATTACCCAAATTAAATTTTTTAATTTAATTGTTCACTTGAGTATTTCCTGTCTTTCCAACTACAATGAATTCCCACGCAAGAAGGGATTTTTGTCTTCTTTCTTGCCATTGCATTGCCAGCCTCTAAGCCTGTCCCTGGCACACACTAGATCCCCAACAAATCCATGTTGAATAGTAACACCTTTTTGTGTGGAAATCAATATCTTTATAGACATTTTAAAAATTGGATTTCAGGTACATGGAATTAGATTAACCATCATCCTTGGTTAATGGCATACTCATGGTTGAGCCATGCCTGGCCCTCTTTTATTATTTATTTAGCTATTTAATTCGGTTTTTAAAAACTCATGTAATCAAGTCCCTGAGAAAACAGAACCTAAAACAAAATCTAGGGTCCCTCACCTAACCAGAGGGCCCTAACCCACATTTCACCCCCTGCCTTGCCTCACCTGAGGGCATCATCCTTCAGAATCCCAGGTTCACTTCTTGTTATCTCGCAAGTCGATTTCCCTAGAAGCAGAGCCTGAGATGATGGGAGTCTCGTTTTGGTGATTTATTAAAGCAGTGCTCAGAAGAAGGGGAGTTTGGAAAGCAGGATGGGGCTAGAGAAAAAGCTAGGCAAAGCTGTAGAATCAGCTGGAGACGAGATTCAGAGCTCTGGAGCCCACAGTGCACTGCAGAGTTGACCCACCTTGAGGCAAAAGACTAGCTCTTCATACCCCCAAGTCGGCGAGACATAGGCTGGCATTTGGGGAGGTGATATAGGGAAAGCAGGTACACAGCCTCCTGGGTGAGGCAGGCCCCATTGGGCTAAGGGCAAGTCTTCAGAGAAGGATGGAGCCTTGAGCAGTTGGCAGCCAACACTCATAGCAGCTAGGGGTCAGTGCACTTGACCAGGAAAAGGGGGGTCTGTCTGGGCGTTTCTCCTACATCTTGCTTTCTTTTTTATACAGTTTTATAAAATTGTGTCTGTCTTCTTTAAAAGCATATATATATATATATATATATATATATATATATATATATATATATATATATATTTCAGTTATTTGGAACTTTCTAGAAAGGAAATCACACTAAATTTTGTTTTGATTGTTGTATAATATTTCAGGATGTGCAAATACCATACTTCATTCACCCATTCTCCCACTGGTGGACTTTTGAGTCATTTTTAGGTCATATGAGTCATTTTGCTAGGAACATTCTCATATACAGGTTATGTCTCCTCTTGCATATGTGCAAGAATTTGGGGGGTTTATGCCTAGGATGAAATAGCTGGATCGTAAGTATGGACTTTAGAAGATAATGCCAAATTGTTTTCCAAGTGGTTTTACTAATCCACATGCTCACCAATAATTTATATACGAGCTCTTTCATCTTTTTCGATTTTTGTAAATTGAAGGAGTATAAAATAGTATCTCACTGTGGTCTTGATTTGTATGTCCTCCATCACTAATCATCCCTTCATATGTTTATCGGATATACCTGTTTCCTCTTACATGAAAGGCTTGCTCCTATCTTTTGTCCATTTTTCTATCGGCTTATTTATGCTTTTCTTATTGATCTGTAGGAGTTCTTTATGTGTCCTTAGTCTGTTGTGTGTATTTTGAATATTGTGAATATCTTTTCCTAGTGTGTAACTTCTCTCACTTTCTTTATGGTGTCTTTTAATAAGTTCTAATGAACGGAAGTTCTTAATTTTATTATAGTCACAGGTATTCTTTTTATAGTTTGTTTGTTTTTTGTAGAAATGAGAGCAAATATTACATACTACATGGCCAGTCCTGTACTAAGCACTTTCTATTATAACTCTCTTAATTCTCATTACAAACATATAAGGTAGGTCCTACTCTCATTCCTATATATTTTTTTGCGGGCGGAGGGGGGGAGGGAACAGTGTGTTTTTCCAGGAATCCTCAGCTCCAAGTCAAGTAGTTGTTTCAATCTAGTTGTGGAGGGTGCATCTCAGTGGCACATGTGGGGATCGAACAGGCAAACTTGGTGTTATGAGCACTGCGCTCTAAGCAACTGAGCTAACCAGCCGCCCCCTTATGGCTTTTTATATCTTGTTTAAGAAATATTTCCCTTAAGGAATCTAAAGGATCATTTTCTTCTTGGGGTGGACGGGAGCGCCGCAAATGGAGCCGAGTTACAGGTGAGTCACAGAGACGAGCATTGTCATGCTTACTGAGGCATCGTCAGGGTCCAAGGCAGCCCTGACCAGCCAGCACAAGCAACCAGCTGCCTGGTTGGCAGGTGTGTCTTGGTTATAGAATTGGATATATCGTGCTATTAGAGCTGGATACCATTAACAATTCTAATCATAGACTGTAATTAACTTTCCTTGCTCTGATGCCCCGCTCACTAAACAACCTTCTGATTATAATTTGGCTTCCCATGTACCTTGCCTACAGGGAGAGAATGTACTATTCAGGCCGACGTGAGGATCCAATCCACTGAATAGTTACATGCCATGATGTAAATTAATAAATTCGTATTCTGGCTTTATCATCTGCCTCATCTGAGCTTTGTAAGCGTGAGTCAGCATCCCCGAGTCTAATCAACAGGGACGCTGAGAACATCAAGCTTCTGAGCTGAAAGCTAAGAACTAGACCCAGGACCAGAGTGAAGTCACCAAGGTAACACTGCCCTGGAGGCCCCTCGGCCTCATGGAGAAGGTCTTCCTGCACGTCATGCGATACAGAAAGACATTAAAATTAACTTTTGACATTACAAAAAAACTGCATATTCAAAACCATGGCTTGGTTCCTTTTAGGTGAAGGCGAAGAACAGGAGACAATCATAAGACTTATATTGAATATTTATTGGCTTATGAGCACACACCAGATGCTGCACAAATCCTAGGCAGAATAATAAGATTTACAGACATATTTGAAAAAAAGAAAAAAAGAAGGGGAGGTGCAGATGGTCCACGCCAAGGAGGACTAGAACAAGAGGAACCTGACAGGAATCCTTGTCCCACCTTGGTACAGGGTGCAAAATAGAAGATGGCGGCTTTAAAGACCAACAAAACAATACAAAACAAAACAAAACAGGGGAAGGAAACACAAGGCACACCAGAGCATGTGCTAGGGCAGTGAGATTATCCAGGCCAGAGGAGTGATTTAGGACCTGTAGGGTGAGGGCAAGATCTTTGAAGTGAGTTCAAAAGGTAAAACGGAGGTGAGCCCATTAGGACAGATGGGGATAATTTAGCCATCCTGCTATTAGATCACCACTTTATCCAGGGTTTCAGGGTGAGCAGTACCTATAGTGACACAGATGCCCTTCTGGGATCCCAGTTACATTGAATAATAAAGGAAAGAATGTGATCAGAGCTGTAGCAGCTGGGGATTTTTGGCCCAGTGATGAGAAGTGATTCTTCACTTTGTATTCAGACAGAAACAAACAAAAACAAAAAAAAGGTGGGGGAGGGATGACCTATACTGATGATCCTGCAGGATTTGTTTTTCTAAGAAAAATATGTTCCAGAAGGACTTAGATAAATTACAGGAAGATCTGCATCGTCTTTGAGATTACAGTGCCTCCCTCGGGGCCCCCACCAGAGCAAGGGCACCAGCTTGGCTGGATTGGATGAGGCTAGAGAACCATCTCAGATATCCTTTTGTTCTAAAAATGAGGTAGAGACATGCAACCCAGTAAGGGGCCATCCTAAGCGTGGCCTGCCCAACCAGCTACGTAGAAGGAAAGGCATACAAAGGACTCAGCGAAACAGCCGAACCAAAATGTGGCAGGTGACGGAGCACGTCTCTCAGGTGCACCCCCAGGATGCTCAACTTCAGGAAGCGGGAGCTGGAGAAGGGCTGACCTGTGTCCTCTACAAAGCTAGAGGGCGCTGACTCACATGTGAAGGAGCAAGCTCCCTTTCATAGTGGCTTCTGTGTGTGTGCGCATGCGTAGGGATAAAGAAGAGTAGACAGAGCGGGGCTCCTCGTCTAGTAGAGGTGGTCCCGCACATGCTCCATGATGCTCTTCAGCCCCAGCCAGGTCTCCTCCGCAGTGGGAATGATCTGGTCGGCTGGCAGGAGGAAGCCGTAGTGCCCAGTATCTCTCAACTCAAAAGTGAAGGCATACTTGATGCCATTATTGTACGCCCAATCCACGCTGCTCCCGCTCGCTTGATCTGCAAGTCAGAAAAGAAAACGCCTTTGAAGCTCAGTGCCTTTCAGGGTCAGGTGGCAAGAGGCCAGGAGTTCCATATGCCTGTGTTTCCTTAGGGGTCCAGAGTTCTTTCTGCAAGTCATTAGGCTTATGACATACAAACATTGGTCTGATCCATAGGACTCAGGCTTTCCTGCACCATGAGGTTCTTCACTAGTCTCAAATAAAGAGATGAAATCCGGAGGGAGGGGGGTAAATAAGGGTAAAGGGGATCAAATATATGGTGATGGAAAGAGAACTGACTCTGGGTGGTGAACACAAAGTGATATATAGATGTATTACAGAACTGTACACCTGAAATCTATGTAACTTTGCTAATAATTGTCATCCCAATAAACTTTAATTTTAAAAAAAGAGATTAAATCCTCATTTCCACCTTGTCACTAACTCACTCTGTAGACACCTGCAGGTCACTCCAAACCAATCTTTACAGAGACAGGGTACGGTAGACAGCCTCTAAGATAGCTCCAGTGATCCTTGTCCCCTGGTATTCACACATCAAATAGGGCTGACTTGGCCTGTGTAAGTAACAGGAGACTGCAGAAATGAAGGTGTGTGACCTTCAGGGCTAGGTCGTAAAAGATTCTGTGGCTTCCACCTTGCTCTCTCTGGGGAAAGCCAGCTGTCATGTTATAAGGACACTCAAGCAGCCCTATAAAGAGGTCCACATGCTGAAGACCTGAGGCTTCCAGCCAATAATCAGCACTCATTCACCAGACACCTGAGGGAGCCACCACAGAAGCAGACCCCTTAGCCCAGTCAAACCTTTAGATGACTGTAGCCCTGGAAGATATTTGACTGCAGCCTCATGAGAGACCTTGAGCCAGAGCCACCCAGCTAAGCCACTCTTGAATTCCTGACCCACAAACAGTTTTTAAAAAAATGTCTATTGTTTTAAGCTGCTAAGTTTTAGGATAACTTTTTGCAAGAGATAACTGATATACAGAGAGAAAGCAGCACAACCCTTGCGATTTCCCTTGGCCAAAAGGTTGGAGGAAAAGGCAAGAGGCCTGTTTTTCTGCTTCTTCCCAAACTCTACTAGAGCAGAAATTAGGTAAGAGTGCAAAGTGTAGATGATATTGAATAATAAAATAATGATGTCAATGGTAGCTACCCTTTATTAAACATCTACCATGAGCCATTCATTATACTGGCAAGTTTACATTTATGATCTCATTTAATCTTTAAAAACCCAATGAGGGTAGGTATTGTTGTCCTTGCTTTTCAGATGAGAAAATCCAGGCTCAGAATGGGTCATTTAACTCAAGAAATATAGATGGAAAATGGCAAGGATGGAATTTAAACCCAGGTCCATCTGATGACAAAGCCCATGCTTTCTTCAACCTATTTCCAGTCCATTTGGTAAATTACATGTCAGTTAAACGAAAACATGGGTCCTTTTGTGTTTCCCTTGTTCCTGAGGGTTATTTCTCATGATACCATTTGTGATTTTTCTAGAGATGCTGGCTCCACTGAGATTACCTGTTCCCTGAGGTTATGGAGCAGGCTTTCTTACACTCTCTCAAATCTTTGTGTGGTTCCCATAGCCTTTCTCTACCCTGAGAAAATGCTGAATAAAGAACAGACAATGGCACCAGAGGTTTATAGAGGTTATATATGTAGCAAGCTCGAGTATTTCAGAACACATTTAAAATTCAGGAAGGAGGCAAGGCCTCTGCTGAGCAAAATGATCAAGTTCATGAACTTCACTTTATTTGGGTCCCTGCTCAAAGTCTATCTAATCTTTTTTTTTTTTAACACAAATAGGAATACACTATTTACACTGTTCTGCACACTGTATTTCTAGTTAATATTTGAAGGTTATAGCCTATTAGCACATATAGATCTACCTCATTCATTTAAGGGCTGTCTATTATTTCATTGGTGAATGCACCAAATGTATTTTTACCCCATACTCTACCGATGGACATTTAGATGTGTACCATTCTTTTGTATAAACAATGCTGTCATGAACATCCTTAATACTCACAATCTAATGAGCCAAACCAGCTCAAAGAACTTGTTTCCAAGCCCTTAGAACAGTGGTTCTCAACCTGTGGGTTGCGACCCCTTTGGGGGTTGAACGACCCTTTCACAGGGGTCGCCTAAGACCATCGGAAAACAAAAAGATATTTACATTACGATTCATAACAGTAGCAAAATGACAGTTATAGAGTAGCAACGAAAATAATTTTATGGTTGGGGGTCACCACAACATGAGGAACTGTATTAAGGGGTC